CGCCGGGCGGGGGTCGGCTCCTTCTTTGCTTCAATAAACATGACCTTACAGCCGGGCGCCGGGCGGGCGCTGCCTTCCCTCCGCCGGCGTGGCCGTGGCGCAGCGCGGGCCGAGACGACTCGGGTTTCACTCAGAGTGGGAGCTCCGTCCGCAAGCCGCTGGCCACGCGTGGCGCGGGGGAGCGCGGCGGCCGCCGTCAGCCCTCCGGCCGCCTGTCCCGGGGGAAATGGTGGCTGCGGAGGCGCCCGGGGACCGGCGGGGGCCGCCGGGACTGCGGCGGAGGCTGGTTCGGGACGGCGCCGAACGCAGCGTTTCGCCGAGGAGTAACTGACCAAGGCGGAGGGCACCACGTAGTGCGCCCTGCCTGACCGTCGGCCGGGCCGCGGAACGGCTTTCTCCAGCGACGGCTCTGTCTATAGCTCATCTGTTGCCTCTAGCAGCCCTCTCCCAAACGCCACCGTCTTGTGCAACACCTGCTTATCTTGTCCATCTCCTTTCCTTCCGATAACAAGTGCTTGATCTCGCAGATCTAAGCATGTGAATGACATCCTGCTACTGGGTCGGGCGAGCGATTTCCTTTCCCCCTGCGCCCCGCTCCGGGCACAGCTGAGTGAGAGCCACCAGCTCCCAGCAGCCGCAGCAGCCCCCGGGTTTCCAACAGCCAGGCTGGGGCCGTGACAGAACTGCCGAGGTACTTTGACCCCTGGGGCAGGTGGTCCACAGCTCGCAAATCCGCCTGCGTGGACCCTCACCATCCAGGCTGGGCTGCGCCAAAAGTAGCGCGCAGAGGCCCTCTATTTGGAGGTATTTTGCAGCCAGTCGGATACACTCAAGTTTTCTCTCAATCTCTAAATAAAATTCCTTACGTTGCAGCTACACTGTTGGGAAGTAAATTCCTGGGGCCGCCCCAACACCTCCTGCCCTGTCCTACTCCCATGCTGACCTGAAAGCTGCAGCTAGGCTGCTGGAGTAAACCTATTTGTTGTGCCTGTGCAGTTTAGATATATTTCACGGTGTCCTGGTTTCAGCTGGGATAGAGTTAACTGTCTTCCTAGTAGCTGGTACAGTGCTATGTTTTGAGTTCAGTATGTGAAGAATGTTGATAACACTGATGTTTTCAGTTGTTGCTCAGTAGTGTTTAGACTATAGTCAAGGATTTTTCAGCTTCTCATGCCCAGCCAGGGCACCTGACCCAAACTGGCCAACAGTATATTCCATACCATGGGACGTCCCATCTAGTTTAGAACTGGGAAGGGGGGGGGGAATCGCCGCTCGGGGACTGGCCAGGTATCAGTTGGCAGGTGGTGAGTAATTGCCCTGCGCATCATTTGTACATTCCAATCCTTTTACTACTACTGTTGTCATTTTATTAGTGTTATCATTATCATTAGTAGTTTCTTCTTTTCTGTTCTATTAAACTGTTCTTATCTCAACCCAGGAGTTTTACTTCTTTTCCTGATTTTCTCCCCCATCCCACTGGATGGGGGGGGAGTGAGTGAGCGGCTGCGTGGTGCTTAGTTGCTGGCTGGGGTTAAACCACGACACACAGCCCGTGTAATAAAACACTGGATGAACACTGAAGAGCCTTGCCATTTATAATCTGAGTTTGTAAACATTTCTTCTACCAAGACTCAGTAGCAGCCCTGCTTGCCTTCACTCCTTTGGTGTGGCTTTTCCTGCCTCCAGGAAAGCACCTGGTGCATTTAGTATGGGCCTAGGCTGTGGGAGAGCTTCAGTATCCTCAGACTAAATCATTTCATGTCTTACAGGTTGGCCCACCACCAGTCAGGCTTGCCAGACCAACCTGAAGCCTTATTTGCGTGTTTGCCACCTTGTGCCATAGTGCATGGTTAGGAGGGCTCAGCTATTCATGAAGCTGCAGCTTGTCTGCAGCTTGGCCTCCTCTGGACCAGCTGCGCTCCTGGGTTTCACTGCACTCCTGATTCCTCAGGGCCTCCCAGGACAGCCAAAGGCAGGAAAAACAGCCACGGGAGGGAAAGCTGGGCAGCGGATGGTTGCCAAGGCTCAGCACAGAGGCAGCTGTCACAGGTAGGGACAAGCTGCTGGGCTTCATTCGTAACTTTTTATTCTTGCACAAGGCAAAGAAATAGCCAGAGGTAAAGAGCAGTAGCCCTAAACCACCTCTGCAGTCTCTGTATCCTGGAGGTAACAAAGCACTGCTTGGCCTCAGCAGAAGAAAAGCAAATTGCTCATCAGACTCCTCTTCCAAGCAAAGTAAACACTTTGCCTCCTGCCCTTGAAATGGCTTATCAAAGAGCAATATCTCATCAAAGCCTCTTTCAAATCTGAGCTAACTACTGTTTGTGCTATTATTAACTGGAGTCAATTTGAGAAGGGGAGCTAGGGGGCTTTGATTCCTCTGACATGAAAGCTTTAAAGAAGAGAAAGAAGTCATAGTATCAACCTGCGATGCCATGGCATACAGATGAAAGCCTAGGTGTCATTTTTGCCTGCAGAGCCTCACCGTGACTTCAGTGGCCTGACTTTGGGGTAGCTCAAGCCTGATTTATGAACTGCAGTTTGCTCCCTTGGGTCCCACAGAGCACGACCTTTCCTCCTCTCCAACACCCCACAAAGGCAGGGAGAAAAAGTCACATTGCTTCCCATACATGGAAGCACGTGGTCTACAGTGATGATTTATTAAGCCCCAAATTTCTGCACATACCCAAAGAGATCACTTGTATTGACAAACGGGAAAGGACACTTAAGAAGCAGTCCGACTTCCTCACAGCCCGTCAGATGTAAAAGAAAACCTTTGTTCCTGGTGGAGAACTTAAAATTTGGCATCATCATTGTTACAACCTGTTCTCTTGCTTTGCATTCCTCTGTCTCTGCATTAACCCCAGAGTTAATATCTGGCTCTTGGAAGAGTTAAATAAGCTGAAAAGTCGAATGACAGACAGACAAAAATACACATGCATATACAAAGATCTGTTTAAATTAGAAATTGATATGACTTTTTTCTTTTGCTGCACATGGAAAAGCAACCATTGGCTTTTAGGCTGTGTGGTTGCCTTCTTGGTCCCTCAGTGGCTTTCTGCATATTGCTAGTGTATGTTGGCTGATGCTGGGTCAGCTCAGTTGTGAAGCTATGAAGAGCAGGCCGTGCAGGGGTAGCTCTGTGTGCTTACAGGACTGGTATCAAACTGAAGAAAATCTAAGCTTAGGGAGCAGTTTATCAGAAGAGCTGGGAACAGGTCTGAACTTTACTCAGCCACGGCACTGTGGCATTTCAGGTACAGACTATAATAATGTGACCATGTATTTGCAACCAGTCTCAGGGCAGACTTCCTTCAGAAAGCCAAAATTATCTAAAAGGTGGACCTGTGGGTAAAAAAGAACACCTAATAGGCAGATTATGAACCGAACTAAGCCAATGAAAGTGAAGTATAACTTCACCAAAATCAGTGCGTTGGGAAGGTTTTTTACTCGAAAGTCCTGAGGTGGGGCTACTGGTGGGCAGATGTTTCTCTGTGGGATGCTAAGTAGGAGAAAAAACCCCAAAGTCCCTTTTTTTCAGACCACCTTCTAGAAACACTGTTGACTCTTGTTACAACAAAAGCAACACAAATACCACTTTGCTAATACATAGGGAGCCAGACTTAAACATGTCACTGATATTTACTTAACAAATATTGTTAGGTATGTACTCTGATGTGGTTCAAAGAACACTTGTTTATTTAAAACAGCTTATTTTAAAACAAGGCTTTTTGTTTTCTTTCTTTTTTTGTTCCTGGCATGAGACAGCAGCTAAAACTTTCTGCTTTCTGACCTTGGCTTGTCAGAGATTTGTCCTAACAGGGGAAAGCATATTTGCACTGAGTCTGCCAGCTTGGATTTTCAAGAGCTGGGAGAAGCTGCTCACTTGTAGGGCTTGGCTGTATGGTGAGGAGAATTTCATTTTGCTCTCACGATGTCCTGAGAACTGTCTATTCATGCAATTTCTCCCTAACTATCTCCAAAAGCTGTGTCTGATGGTATGCATGCCATTCCCAACCCAGTCTCAGTGGGGTGGCTGGGCACCTTGCCTGTTTCTTAGCACTTACATTCATGCTATATCATTGCAGTCTTACTTACGGTAAACAGCATCTGAAATAGCTGGCACCAGCCACTGCTGGGGACAGGCGCTGGGACTCTATGTGCACACACTGATGGCATTCGGCACTCCCGCAGATCTCACTGAGGTCAGGACAAAGTGGGGAGGGAGGACAGATTTCTGGCTTCTCAGGAGCTCTGACCAGTATCTCTGTAAAGTGGCAGTGACAAACCATTATGAAAGCACCTGCTTTTTAAATTTTTCTTCCCACTTTTTTTGAAAGTCAGGATGGTTCAACCTGGAGCCCTCAGCAGCAGCCTGGCAGCCTCCAGGACTAGGCCAGGGTTTTCCATAGGGTGGATGCCGACAAGCCACTGTGCTTTCCTGCAACTTGTTTTGCTCACCTGCGAAAGGGCTCTGTGGGTCTTCTTGTAAAGCACTTAGGGATCTGTAAACAAAAAAATTCATTTTCTGTAAAGAAAAATATTACACGCAAAGTAACATCTTTGGTTTTTTTTAGGCAAAAAGGGACAGTTCTTGCTGGAGGTGCAAAGCAATATTCCTCACA